CACCCCTCTACTCCTCCCATGACCCCAAAACCCTACAGAAGTGACCTGTTGGAAGGCTCCCGAACACGTTGCTTGTGTGGCGGAGCTTACGAGCTCTGTGCTTCCTTGCAGTTGTAACCAGGCTGCATCGCCTCAGTAGAGTGGTTTTGGTCTACAAAGAGCTGTCACTAGGGGACTTGGTTCACATACTGACCCTCAGCATAGCCTTGCGAGGTAAGGTAAAGAGGTGTACGACTCCATTTAAGAAAGGGAAGCTCAAAGAGTGTAATTAGGATGCACCGCAGCAAGTTCTGCGTGCGGAACGGTGGGGCGCACCGACGAAGACCGTGAATGAGCTCCAGGGTTTCTGCCACCTGTTTGAACTCCCAGGGCATTTTTCTGTTTATTTTCTAGATCAGCGTTTGGCCAGCTTTTCCTGTGAAGAGCCAGGGAGTAAGCATTTAAGGCATTGCGGGAGGTAGTGTCCACGTCCCAGTTACTGGTGCTGCCTGGTCGCACAACGCGGCCGCAGACAGCGAGCAGAAAAATAAGCGGCCGTGGCTGCCTGCCACTAACACTGTGTCTGTGGAAACAGGTGGGGGGTGGGGTGGGTGCTGGACTTGGTTTGGGGACCATAGTTTGCCAACCTGTGGGTAAGACCCTACCTGTATTCTAGATAATCCATCAGTTCTAGAAGAAAGGAGGGTGTTCTGTGGACCTAGAGCCAGAACGCACTTGTTACCTGCTGTCCCAGCTCCCTGCAGTCTGCCCGCCACCCCCTCCCCCACCTGGGCCCTGTGACAACCCAGTTGTTGCGGCCTGTTGCCTAGGAACTTTTCTACTTGTCGCCAACAAAGCCTTCACACCCCCCAAATAATAACGTCTTGTAAAAAGGTTCATAAATGACAAAAACACAAATAGGTTCGCCGCACAGAGCACACTGCCTATTCCCAACGGGCCTTGTACCTGGCGGCCTCAGACAGGAAACCCCGGATTGGAGAACTGGCCTCCTTTGTTGTGTGGGGGCCTATTTTTGTCCGGAGGGAGGAAGCAGAAGGGGTGGTGCGGCCAGTAAGGCAGAGGGGCTCTCCTCGGGAAGCACGCCCCCTTGACCGTTGAGGCAGCATCTTGGGTCACAGGGATCAGAAAGAAGCCATTGGAGACCTTTCCGATTTTTTTCAAGGGTAAAAAAAAAAAAAAGGAAAAGGAAAAATCGTTTCTCCTCTTTCAGGGGTGTCAGTAGGGGACTCTCCCTATTGGTCTCTCTTCTCTTTCCATTTTTAGTGTCTTCAAAAGGAAAAAAAAAAGATATCCATGTTCTTGTTCCTGCTTATTAAGGAAATGACACTCACCCCTCGCTTGTTGTACGTGACCAGCCGCCTAGAATGGGAACACAGCTTCCTAGCGTCTCTTCCTCATCGTCACCCCTTCAGCAAAGGACGCCAGTGGAGTGAGGCTGCCTGAGTGCCCATCCCTGCTCCCCTGTTGATAAGTCGTGGGGTTTGAGACAAGAGATTTGATCTCAGTACCCTCATTGGCGGAATAACAGGAACAGTAGTACCCACACTTTGCAGGGCGGTTGTGTGAATTCAGAGAAGATATGTGGACATGTAGGCCAGACGGCACTGGATTCATGGGAACATCTGAGAAGACGGCGCAGGCTTTGGACAGGAGTACTGGGCTGAGTCCCTCAAGACAGGAGCAAGTCAGGGCTCTCTCAGTTACCCCCTATCTAATGGGCCTCCCTACGTGCCCATGTGGAGCTGTTATCCCAGTGGGAGAACACAGGCCCCCCCAAAAAATAAAGCACATGCATGATTCTACAGAGAAGAATAAAGTGAGGGGGAGGGGTGTTCAGAAGGCCTCATGGAGAAGGTGACATTTGACCAGAGCCAACCTCCCCGGTAAAAGGAGATTAGGAACAGCAGGGATGATGTGAGGATAAGCCAGACAAGAGGAAGGAGGCCGGCAGCTCCTGCAGCACCGCTGTTTGCAGTGTTATTATCGGTGCAGTGCAATCGTTGTTGGATGCTCAAAGGGCACCTTAGAGAACTCCACGTCCGGTCCGCGGGAAGGGCAGTGGCCTCTGCGTTTTAACTTAGTCTGTCATGGCTAAGATACTGCCTGGTGCACAGAAAGCTGCTCAATCAATACTGGCGGGCTCAGATGGTACCCTCAGTGGGACCAAGAAGTGACATGAAGCAGCACTTTGGGGAAAAGGAGGGCCAGGGAGAGCGAGGTGAGCTTGGTTTTTACACGACTTTGTTCCTTGGCAACTTGGGATATGTTAAGAATCCTTATGCCTGTGAGTTAGCATATTCTGGAAGTTTCCAGAGGACTTGGTCAAAGAGCTAGCACAGCTCTGGGGAACAATAAAGTCACTCCTTCCCATCTGCAGTGTTGGGAACTGGGCTACATACAGCAACCTTAATCCTGTGCAGGGCGGCCCCCTCCCACCAACCTGGCTTCCAAATGGCAACGGCACCACCTGCTGGAGAAACAAGGCTACTCCTGCGTCTGTCACCATTTTTATCCTGCCAAGCACTCAGTAACTGAGTCGGGAAGCCTCTTTATCCCGGGGCTGCCGTGATTTTCATTCTCAAAGCTCGTTGGTCCCTCCGATTCCTCAGGCATGTGTCTGCGTGTGCATGCATGCATGTGTGTGTGTGTGCGTGGGGGGGGGGGTGTTTCTCATCCTGTGGTTATTTGGGGCCAACCAGAGCAACGGGGTGCTTAATCCCAAGTTTCACTGTCTCCCTCTTTATCTAGTCTCCTGTCTTGTCTGTGGGTCCCGTGTGAAGACAGTGCTTTGAATACGCTCTCATAAGGTTGGAAATCCCATTTTACCTTCCCCGAGTCTTCTGGGCCCCCCCTTGAGCCCAGAAATCCCACTTGGCCATGCCGACCTCACGACAGGGGACGTGCACAGGGGACGTGCACGTTATATACGACTGACCCGGGCCAGCCACCAGAGATCAGCACCCGCGGCCTGACCAGGTCACAGGGAGCTCATAATTCAGTACAGACAGACACAGAATTCAGTTGCAAAATTTCCTAACAGGAAGGCAAAAAGGGAAATAAGTGGGATTATGCAGTTCCTATTGTCAGACTAAAAAAAAAAGAAAAGAAAAAAAGCAGAAGACACAATGTTTGTCTGGCAGAGAGAATTCAAAGAAAAAGATCAAAATCTGTCCATTCAGAAAGTTCGGGCAAAACACAGGGTAATTCAACGTCTTTCAGCCAGGGGTTTTGTAAAGGACGCAGGAGCACACAGGGTGGGGTGGAACAGGGGAGGCACTATTTCCGCAGAGCCTCGAAGCCTTGGAGGCCCCTGGGCTCTGGTAACCCAAGCAGCTGCCCCAAGTCACCGGCCTCAGGGGGACGGAGCCCCAGGGTGGTATCTTGGCCAGAGGTGAGGCCAGGGGTGTGCAAGGTGAGGCCAGAACCTAATCGGAGTCAATTTCCCTGCCTTCCCGTTGAACTGAGCCGAGCACGAGCCGGCTGGGATTAGAGAGCTCCATCTTCCCCCACAGCACAAGCTGCCAGTGCCTGTCCTTCCACGGGCAAAAGCCAACACTCTGTGCCTCCCAAGTCCCACACTGTCATGAAGAATGCCACTAGCACCTCCACTAGGTGGGCAAATGCTTTCCTTGATGGAAACATTTGACAGAAGCTTAAAATGTGTGCTTCCTGGGAGCTGCCCTGGGTGTTCCCAGGGGTCTCAGGACTATGTGTGGGGAACTCCTGGGAGGAACGTCAGGCCTTTGGCCCAACAGGTGCTTCCCTGCACCCTTGTGTGGTTGCCTCTTCTACTGCCTCGTCCTCTCCCTTGTTCTGGGAGGGGCCTGAGGGTTGGCTTGAGTCATTTTGGGGACAATTTACTCGTTGAGCACCAAGGCAAGGATACCTTGGTTGGATACCAGGGTTGGCTGCTGGTGACAAGGGACTTCCCACTGCAGACGCCAGACTGTGGAGCCTCCAGAGCGGCGCGCTGGTGCCCTCTTGTGGGAGCAGATTGCAGTGCAGCCAACTCTCTGCAGGGCCCCGGCAACAGGTGCACCTGACCCTGGGTCCACACTGGGAGCAGGATTACAAATGATGGGGGCTGGAATGTCCACATTAATGTCAACCAGCCCACCGGCCCTCTGCCACCCCACACACCGGTCACAACAGAGATGCTAAAACTGCAGATGGGGCCCCTGAACTCCATTCTAAGCCCTGTCGTGTGGGTCTTCGCTTCTGCCTTGCTGTATGGCTGCTCAGCTTGGAACCATGACTGGGGTTCCCACCCCAGATCAGATCTCTTGGGGAGCGGTGCTGGCCAGCCTCAGCTTCCCTGAAGCTGCTGATGGCTTGTGGATGCTACACTCTGGTTGCTGGCTATCACCTACCCCCGCTCACCCTGTCTTCCCCCGCAGCTACCATTATGAGGGAGCAGGCCTTGGGTATAGTCACCATCAACAGCGAACCATGCTGGGAAACCATGGGCACCTACTGTCCATCCGGGTGCCCCAGGTCCTTGCAGCTCCAGGAGCCTGAGTCCCAGCAGCCCCACTGATGGGGGTCCCTGAGGGATGGCACTGCACGAAGCCCCCCAGGTGCACTGCATGCTGTGGAAATACGGCCGGGGGGGATCATCAGGACAGGGGGTCTATGGCTTTGACTAGAGCAGGGGATAGACAGGCGCTCACGTGTCAGCATCTGAGCTCTGACTGAGGCACTCCCACCTAGGACTGTTCACTGTGTTCATGTGCCCCACGTGTGACTCCCAGTGAGAGAAGCGAGAGCTTCCTGGAGACCTACTATAGGCATTAAGTCTGGGGGCCCCTGGGCCCTCTGCACACACATCACGGTGGGACACTCTGGGCCATGAGGCAGCCACCCCTGCCCACGTACCAGGGCGGTACATCCGGTTATGCTCTGCTGGGAGCAGGGGCCAGTGGGAGTGCTTAGGCCCTGCCCAGGCCCCGGGTTGGCTCCTGGGGCGGGGGTATGTGTGGAGACCCTGCCCCTGCACCTACCTGCCAGGCCGGGAGGACCTTCTCGATGTCATTCAGGTTGATCCCTTCCCCATCTTCCAGCTTTCCTTTTCCACACCTGGATCAGAAAAGACAAAAAAATGCTGAAAGGATGGCACATTCATGGGCCCTGTCCCAGCCTGGCAAGCAGGGACGGTCAGGCGACACCTGGTCCTGCCCTCCCTCAAGGCCTGCAGAATCCGCCTGTCCCCAGGAGGAGATGACCCCGGAGACCCCGAAGGCCCTGGAGATGCTGCCCTCTGTCCCACCGTTGGCAACACAGGCCTTCCTGGAGGACAGAGGACCCCTGCAGGTGGGCACGCTGAGGCCAGCCTGAGGACGGTGGCACGGAGGTTCCAGAGTCTCCCTTGACCTTCCCGGGCAAAGACACCAGCTCTTTGCCGACGGACCCCCCACACCTGTCACAGCTCTGCAGAGCCTGTTACACTGAAGGGAACACGAACAGAGGAGCACGCAACGTCCTTAGGGTCACACAGGCCCCGGAGGGCACTCCCTTCTCCCCTGGCCTGTCCGTGGGCAGCCCAGCAAGCCCACCCAGGTAGTGACACTGTCTTCCCGTCCTTGGTGGGCAGCTGAACCTCCAGGCCAGAGACACAGGCACCATTCACAGCCAAAGGTCCACGTCTCCTGCACATTTAAGGCGCAGACTTTGGCACCAGACTGGCGGGGTTGGAACCCCAGCTGTACCCCTTAACTGGGTGACTCTGCGTGAGTCACTTAACCTCTCTATACCGGTTTCTTCATTTGAAAAACTGGGATAATTAACAGTGTCTAACCTGACAAGGTGAGTAGAGGATAGAATTAATGTAGAGAAGTGCTTACAACCTTTCCAGGCATGTGTGCACACACACATTTAATATACATACCTAACAGTAGATATTACGGTAAATACAGGTAACAGATAAATAACGTTATAATAAAATAAATATATTGCTATCGCTAGTACTGCCTCTACTTCTACCACAATTACTGTTGTTGTTATTGTTATTGGGGAAGAGGAGCAGCACAGTGACTGACGACAAGCAGAGATTCTAGAGCCAACCCAGCCTTGTGCAGGTTCCTCATTTTTAGCAGGAGTAGTTTCCTCATCTGTCAAAGTGAAGAGAATGAGGATCCTACCTCCCTAGGTCATAGTGAGTTTTCAATAATAAAAGGCAAGCACTTAGAATGATACTGGCCCTTGACCTGTGCACAGGATGAGTTGCTACTATTGTTACGTTGTTACTATGATTGACTCAGGGATGGCGAGGGCTGCCCAGGAGCTTGATGGCAGCGTTTTCTAACTGCAGAGTTAATGCAACTTTCAAACTTCAGAGTTATCAGTTTATTCTTCAATATGTGCCAGCGATCTCTTGTGTTTTGGGCCCTGGCAACCTCCCTTGGAGTCATGGAAAATATATTCAACGTGGTCCAGGCCCTCAGGCAGCTCCTAGCTCTCAAGAAACAAGCGCTCTCTCATCTGACAGGGCAGTATGCCTGGGCACCAGTAGGGGGCAGCATGAGATAAGTGTCCCAAAAATCCTGTGGACAGAAACGTCCTGGAATGAACCCCAGGAAGAGGAACAGGGTAGCTGCAGAAGTGAGCAAAGGCTTGGGTGCTGCAGGCATGGGGATGCCATCTGGACCCACACTTTCCAGTGCTTTTGTGTGGGCTCTGGCTCAGCTGGACCCAGGGCCAAAAACATAGGCTGGGTCCGCGGTACCACAGCCGTGTGGGGTCGGGGGTAAGAGAGGGCACAGCAGGAACCCAGAAGAGCAGCGTCCAGAACAGCCTGGGCAGAGGGAGGGAGACGGGTTGTAAGGCACCCGAGCAGAGTCTGGGACAACGTCCCAGGCAGAGCGCAGCAGGGAGGGCAAAGGCTGGGAGCTAAGCGCACGTGGGCTGCCAACAGGGACATCGGCGTTCATGGCTGGAGTGGGGAAGAGGACAGGGTGCTGGGGGCGGGTGAAAGGAGCAAGATGACCCTGGAGCGCCAGGGTTGGACTCTCGGGGCCTGGCAGGTGGTGCTGGGGCGGGAGGGGTGTCAGGGGTGGGGGGAAGGGGAGAGTTCTCGTCCTCTCCACACACACCCCGGTCTCGCGATATGCTGGGCTGCAGATGAGGTGAAGAAAGGTCTGGAAACAGCCAACCACTTTTGCACTAACATATCTGCCTGGTGAGACAGGCCGGCCTGTGGGGCCCTGACTGCTCGTCGTGACCTGTCTCGTGCGTGCCACCGCGGCTGGGAAGGAGGGGCCCGGCACCTTGCAGCCGACTGGAATGGCTGACACCGTCTCCTCTCAGTCACACGTGTGTACAACACACCTCTGGCTCCAACCGCCCGCCAGGCACCAGGCAGGCACAGTGCAGCTATGGCCTCTCACGCGCACCTCAGCAGCCCCAGGGGTTGGCGTGGGTGGGTACAGGGAGGGCTGAGTCCTCCCTGGGCCCTGGGCCTGCCCTGTCTGGGGCTCACAGCTCCTTGGAGGACTGCAGGCTTGGAGGCCAGAAGGTTGAGGGAGACAAGCTGAGTCACTGCTGCCAACAGTTTCCAAGGCAACAGCTTTTTTCCAGTTTCTGTCCCTCTGTGGCTACACGGGCTGCGGGAAGCCTTGGCAACGAAGTGGCACCCTGCTTCCGGGGGATGCTGCAGTGGCTGGGCTTGGGGAGTCTGTCCGCAGCGCAGCAGCACTCTGAAGGTGACACAGTTCCTGGCCCAGCCACAAGGTGGCCGCAGGAAGCTGCACCTGGACTGCCCTGGAACCAGGATGAAACAGAATTGGGCCATAACCAGGTGTCTGTGGGAGACCCCAGGCGACGGTCAGCAAACCCGTGAGCAGCTGAGGCTGGCCTGCAGATGGTGAGGGGTGTGGCCGCCTCCTCTGGCTCCAGAGGGGACAGTGGTCCTCAGAACCAAGGGGACCTCTCCTCCCTGATCATTGTCTACGGCCACCGCCATAGATGTTATGTTACTTCGTGCGACCTGGTGCGGGCACCTCAGCAAGCCTCACCCTGACGCACGTTCCCCATCAGACACCTTCAGCCCTCCTCTCCTCTGGGCCTCAGTTTCCCCACTGGTTTCACCACTTATATGCTCCCAGGGGACACATGAGAGGTGGGACCTTCCCAGGGAAATGCCATCTCTCTCCCAAAGCCATTCCCAGACAGTTCATCCTCTGAAAGTGCCCTCCACTGCGACCCCCTCGGCATGTACTTCGCTGAGCACCTGGCAGCTCATTTCACAGTGCGCACTCGACTTGTCTATACCACAAAACTGAGTCTTTTGTTTCCCTGCACAGTCTCAGTCATGAATAGGTTCATGTCTCCTTTTAATAGTAAATAGTCCTGCTGCGCAGGGACTATATTTTATGGAGAGATGGGGGGCGGGGGAGAGAGAGAGAGCGAGAGAGCGCGCTTTCCTCACAGTACCAGGCACCAGGCGGGAACCTGGCAGGCCGGGAGACTGGGCTTCAGAAGTGCAAAACGCTTGTCCCCACGGCACACCCCCAACTGAGCTGGTCCCCATGAGGCCGATGGGGAGCATCACCTCTGCTGCAAACCCACCCCTGGGACTGCCCTGCCGAGGAAAGGTCAGCTTTCCTAGACGCCGCAGCTCAGGAGGAAGTGGCCTGGCTGCTGTTGAATGAGCAGTTGAGCATGTGGTGAGCAGGTCGCTGGCATGAGGCGGGGCCAGGGGGACCTTGGGGCCCGGCCGCTGCTTTACTCTATCGCCTTCTGATAGGGTGCTCCCCACTCAAGGCCATCTCCTGTCCCCGCCCCAAAAAATGACCCCAAAAGTTCTGATGGAACCCACACAGGCACGGCAATGAAAAAAAAAAAAAAGGTGTGGTGAGAGGCTGGGGTCCCCTGGGAGAGGCTGATATGAGTGACATCCCCCTCCCAAGAAAAATGTGCGTGTACACCCCATTGTGCATAAAGTTTTCAGGGGGCTAAGCCGATTCAGGGATGCTCCGGCGTGACGGCATGGGCACTGGATGGCACCAGAAGGCCTGACATCATGGCTCTGCTCCTCAGGGCAGCCACTCTGCCTCGATGCGCCCTCCTCTCCTCTTTAAAGTGGGGGCGAGAATACGGCCCTCCCCAGGTCGCCACTCAGCTTGCTGCGGGGACACCCGTGTTGTCAAGAGAGCGGCAGGGGGCCAGGTGAGGCGCAGTAAAGTAGCTGATGATACCAGCTGTGTTTAGACCCAAAGTGACAGAGAGGCAGGAGTGGGCAAGGAAGGAGTGGAAGGAAAAATAAAAGCCATACGTATGGTTTTAAAAAATGGAAAGAAAAAATAGAAAGTAACAAGTGTCGGTGAGGATGTGGGGAAGTCAGAACCCTTGTGTATTGCTGGTGGGAAGGTAAAAGATTCAGCTGTTATGGAAAATGTTGACAGTTCCTCAAAAAGTTAAAAAAGAATTACCATGTGTGATACTGTCATTTATAATAAGATCTATTTGGTCTTTCTCCCCAGTCCTGGCACAGAGCTCCTGAAATTCTTGAGATTTCCTAAATGATGCTAATGTTGTTAATGAGGCGCCTTTGAAAAGTTCCTAGGTAACTCGAGGATTGGCTGGTTGTGTGTGTGTGTGGGGGGGGGTGGCGCGGGGTTGGGGGGCGGGGACCAACCAAGAGAGACAGAGGAGGGTTAGAGCTTTCAGTCCCATCCCGCCACCTCTGGGGAGGCGCAAGGAGCTGGAGAGTGAATCGATCACCAATGGCCTGTGACTTAGTCAATCATGATGATGCAATGAAACTGCCATAAAACCCCAAGAGGACAGGATTCTTTAAAAGGGGAAGGCAACGTGCATGCACGAAATAAGCAGAGGGTGAGACAGCCCAGTGTAAAAGTGGCCGGTATACCGGTGGTCCTCAAAGAGGGACCCCAGGAACAGCAGCATCAGCAGCCCTAGGAACCTCTCAGAAACGCACGGTCCCAGGCCCCACCACAGACCTCCTGCTTCAGACACTCCGGGGGCAGACCCTGCGATCTGTTTTAACAAGGCCCTAGGCGGTTCTGGGCAAGTGTGAGGCCCACTGTACTGAACTATTGACAAGGGTCAGGAGGGGGAGTGGCAGTGTGGCCGGAGGGGGCTGGGCAGGGAAGGGTGGAGGAATCCAGGAGAGAGGCCAGTGGGCCTGCAGGTCTGAGGCGGTATCTGTGTGTCCCTAGTGCAGCAGCAACCACTTCCTGTCCAGGGAAAGGCCCCTCTCAGCTCGATACAGCTACAGCTGTTCCGCACCTCAGCCTACCCCTATGTACAAGGCCCACCCCCACCCCCAGGGCCGGCTGCCCCTTACCCTTCACGGTCAATGTGTGGTAGGTGCTGCTTGGGCGTGTGTCGGAGCTTCCGGTGGAACTGGGTGAAGTCCAGCTTTTCGGGCTGCAGATCCCAGGTGGCACCACTAGAGGGCGAGGGAAGGCAAGAAATGAGCGGCAAGCCCAGCTACTGAAGGGGCCCAGCCACCCCAGGCACAAGGAGGCGGGCAGTGTCCTCAGAAAGAGACAGGCAGGGAGCTGAGGGCACACAAGGGCCGGATGGGGCAGGGCCTCTCACTAAGAACGCAGCCGGAGGTGTCAGCTCTGGGGAGTGCCCACGAGGCCTCACCTCTCCACAACTTTCCGGTACGGTAACACACGCTTAAAAAACCCAAGCGTAAGCCTGGGGCCTAGGCTGCAACACACCCCCGGCTCCACCCTCGGCCTCCCGCAAAGACACCTGAGAGTCTGTTTTCACAGCTACATTTGAGAAAGCCTGAAGAGAGGAAGGAGGCCAAAAACCTGTCACTAGAGCCTTGAAATGGTGACAAGGCAGCTCTGAGGTCCAGGAGGAAGGCGAGCCCCTGAGGGAGGGAGAAGCAGGGGGCCAGTCCTCGCACAGTCTGGACCCCCGATGCCGAGCGAGCCTGACCCCGAGCCAGCGGGGTGTCTGGAATATGCAGAGTGGAGCGAAAGGGCCACACCAGCCACCCAAGGCCATCGCTCCCAGAGGGGTGGACACCATGGCAGGGGCCCATTAGCAACCCCTTTGGGGACTCTGTCCCCTCATCCTGAGGAACCCTGGCCAATGCCTATTCTTCCAACCTGGCCCGTCAGAACCTTGTAGAGTCTGAGCCCCTGGCAATCCCTCCTCCTTGCACACTTCCCGGAAGCCAGCCAGCCCCTACCGGCTGTGACCTCAGGGGGCAGGGGTGGGGTCTGCAGCCACAGCTATCTGTCCCCGACTCTAACCCAGACTGCCTGAGGTCCCTGAGCCAGTCCTCTTTGCTCCTCCCAGTCCCGCCTCTGCTTCCTCTCCTCCAGGTGGTCGGACCGGCAGCTTCTGTCTCCACCCTCCTCTCATTGCTTTCCCTTCCTTTTGCCCTTGGACACACTCTCCTCCTCCTCCCTTCTGTCTCCTTCTATCCTCTCTCTGACCTCCTTTCTCTTCAGCCTCATCCTTTAAGGTACCTCACGTCCACCCCCCCCCCCACTTATTTCTCTCCACTTCTCGATCAGTGAACTCTCAGCCTTTACTCAGCCCCCAAAGACCCTGTGGGGGCATCAGGACAAGGAAGCTGGGGCCCCAGCCGGAGCCATGCACCACACAGACGCGGAGCTTACCTGAAGGAATCAAAGGTGTTGGCAGCCCAGATGTCTGTCCCCAGCATGTCCAGGGAGTTATCTTTGCTGCCGTTCTAGAAGAGATGGGGAGGAAAGGGATGACATTATTTGCTTGGCCAGGACACTGAGAACGAGTGGGTGGAAGGCCTCACCAGGGCCCAGTCCCCAGGGTGCTGGTCACCCTGGGCAGCGAGGAGGACTCTGCGGTGTATCCCTAGCCTCCCTGAGGCTTGGGCCCTCGCTGGGATGGTATTTCGCAGAGCTGTGCCGTCAGGTACAGAAACAGCTCAGGTCTCTTCTCCCCCCAGCTCCTGGCGAGGGTCCATGTCGGGGGTTGATGTCCCCACTCCCTAAAATCAGGCAGCACCGAGAAGCCCCCACTGGCCAAGGCTATGCCAGTGACTGAATTTCCCTAAGTCCACGGCCCCAGCCTTCACCCTCGGGTATTTCCTGCACAATCCAGCCCACAGACAGGAGATGCTTTCCTGGGTTCAGCTTCTCTGATCGGGCTTCTCCAGCCTCCCGGCCTTCACTGGCGATGCCACCCACCCCTCCCTCGTTAGCCCTATAGGCTGCTATCCACCATCTCGCTCTTCAAAGGCAGACTTCTACCTCCGTTAAAGCTGAATATGTGTGCGCCGTATGACCCGGGGCTGCGCTCCCAGCTACAGACACAACCGAAATGTGCACGGATAGTCAACAGTATGCAGCACCGAGGACAGAGCAGCTCCCAACAGGAAACCACTCAGATGCCCACCAATAGCTGATCACACACACAAATCGTGCTATGTCCTCATACTAGATGTTCATCCAGCAGTGAGAACAAACTAAACCAACATGCAATGACAAATAAATCCCACAAACATAGAGTGAAACAGAATCCATGGTTCATCCCTGACCCCAAGTAAAATTTAAGCTCCTTGACTGCTACCTTCTCTTCTGGAGCCCCGACAGGGGCCCGGTTAGGCACACAGTAGGTCCGCTTCAGATGCCTGCCAACCAATTAAACAGACTCTACGCTGTAAGGGAAGCGGGCGCCGGCCTGCTGCCTGTGTGCCCGGAGGGCTGACCCACAGGTGAGGATGTCAAGAGGCTCTAGGAGTGGAGGAGGAACGTGGGTGGAGAGAGACGAGAGTGAAAAAATCGATGAGGGCCAGAGTGAAACCCACCAGTGCAACGCATCTCACAGGGACAGGCATAATTCACCCTGAAGGCTGCTCCAGGGCAGCGCACAGGCACACAAGTCTCCCGCTGGACCGGTCTCTCAGCCCCTGCGCAGCGGGCTGAGCACCCCCCTCCAGAGAGCTGGCCGGAAGCCCCAGCTGGAAGAGGGGACCTCAGCCTCAGGCTACGGGAGGCACCTGGGGCATCTCCAACTTGGGCCCCAGCCTCTCGCAAAGCAGCATCCCGGTAGGGGAGCTACCAGCTTCAGGATCTCTTGGGGCCCAGGGGAAAGGTCCCTGGCTGATGGGGGAAAGGGTGACAGAAGGGACGTTTTGGAGAAGACGGCCTTGTTTATACTCTCCAAAGGAAGGCCACCTCTCCGGGCACAGGCAGATCGACCCGTGATGCTCTGTTCCTCTCCATGCTGAGGTCAGAATGCGAAGCCTGGGGACGGCGGGCTCAAGTCCAGCCGCTGAGTGGCAGGGCCAGAAGGCCAACCCACGCTGTCGAGAGCCCCTGCACTCGGCAAGCGGGCACGTTGAGTTTTCAGACTCTGCACATTTTTTTCACGGACACCCCACAATTCTACCACTCCACAACAACTCAGAGAAGTTATTTTGAACTGCACATAGATAACCTGAGTCCTATTTTAAACGCCGGCGAGCTCAGAGATCTCACTGCCGTTCCCAGCAAACCCCCGCCCCCAGCGAGGCTGCAGCCTTCCGATCCTCCATCCCCCAGGCCAGAAGCCTCCACAAATGTGTCTCGTTTCCACAGGGTTCAGACTTGTCACTTCGCACACAACCTACCTCCTGCCTCTACTGCCACCCCGCCAACAACATGACTCTGATTCTCAGAGTTGAGCAACAGAAGTGCCAGGACATGGGTCCTTCACAGACCAAGGAGCTGGAACCCCGTCTGCACAGGTCAGGCACCTGCGGGAACCACCTCCAGGAAGAATAATGCAGAGCTGGTGGCAGCCCATGGCAAGAGTGAGGGCCCTCAGGCCGCTGAAGGACACCCTGAGGACTGTGAGCAAGACAGCCTCCCTGCTGAGTGTAACAGCAAGGTAACCCCCAGGACGGCTGGTGTTCTGACAGGTGAGAGGGTCAGGCTCGGGAGAAGCAGCCAGTGAAGATCTTGGTCACCGGGGACAGCCTCCTTGTGGCTCTGTTTGACACACTAACCGCAGCATGTAACAACAGTCCGGACAGTCCCTCAAAGTCTGTGGCAATGGGATACGACAGGCGCACAATCACCGCATGTGACCTTTTATCAATGGTCCAGCACTTGGAAACAAAATCCATCTCTTTCCAGCCTCAGCCCAGGGAGGGAAGAACCTCACCGGCAGAGCCATCTTCCGGTGCTGTCCCTTGTCGATGCAGAGGTGGTGGCCCAGGCACTGCCCGGAGGGGCCAGGCCTCACTCAGCAGTGGCTGACTGCTGCAAATACACGGGACAACTGGAACTGCGTGGCTTCCCACGCCCACCTCTATGCCCGCCAGCACACACACACACACACACACCCACCTGTCCCACAAACCCTCTTAGCACCCAGAAGAAATCAGGGAAGTCAGAGGGGCAGGAGCCTGCAGTCCGGTGGACCCCCACACACACACACAGACCGCAACCTGATTTCTGGAAATCTACAGCAGGAGCTAGGTCCACCTCGTCCTCCAAACCACCCGACACCCGCTCACCCTGAGGACCCACGCAGAGGCGGGGACAAGCTAAGGACAGGGAAGAAGGTGGCCAGGGCCTGGATTGTTCCCAGGCACCCCCTGCTTCCTCGAGCTTCTGTTCATGGCCGCAGGGGCCTCGGCTTCCTCCTGGGCGCACAGGTAATGCTGTGCTAGTGCGCGGCTCGCACGCCAGCCCGTCTGCGACGGGGCGCCAGGACCACGCACAGCTGCCGGAGGTGTGGGGTTATTTTCTTCTTGGGGCCACTGTGGTTTTCCTGGACTCAGAGAAAACAAACAAGTGTTCTTTCTACTGTCCCCCTTCCCGGGCTTGCTTTTTGTTAGGACCCAGCTAAAGACCCTTCATCCCTTCAGTTCTGCACCTTCCTCGAGGCTTGTGCCCCATGAACCCCCAGGAGTAACAGCACATACACAGGGGCTGCTTCCCTTTCTGACTGTTCCGCTGCGCTCAGACCACCGCCCCGCCCCCGCAAAAACAGAATGTTTATAAAAAATTGTGTACTCATTCTTCCAAGTTTAAACTTCAGTCACCTTCAAAGTACTCTCTATTGGATACAATGCACCTATCAAGACTTCTCTTCCCCCTGTTCAAAACCATTTTTGAACTCGTCAATTTTGATGCCCTTTACTGTTTTTGTTGTTTTTTGTTTCACCTCTTCTGCATTGGCAAAATGTTTCCCTTTGAGGGTTTTTTTCATTCGGGGAAACAAAAAAGGTCGCTTGGGGCGAGATCGGGTGACTAGGGAAGGTGAGGCACAGGGGGCATCCCGTTTTTGGTCAAAAACTGCTCAGGGTGGTGTGGGCAGGTGCTCTGTAAATCACCCATCATGAAATGGGCAAAAGCACTGAGTTTTCAAAAAAAAAACTTCACTGAAGCCAAACGCAGCCTCTCACAACAGTGCCAGCTAGTACACTGATATAGATGGGTTCCTAAAAAACTCACCTAGCAGAGGAGGTCTGTATTGCAAAGGGCCCACCCTCCACAAGATAATTCCAGGCTTTTGGGGGGTCTTCCCTCATATACTGTTGTTTTTTAATTAACCAAGAGTGATTTTTGCTGTGTGCTGGTGTTGGTAATTCTAGGCTGCAAGGGTTTAGAAACTGGGCAGAACAGGACAAGGCAGCAGGAGCACCCCCACCCCCGACCCTCTGGGTCACTGGCATAACCTAAGCCCAAACAGTTGCTTCCGGTGGGCTGGGTCTGAAACTCCTCTCAGGCCCAAACTAAACTGGACTTGAGGGGTGACCTGGGTTTGCTTCTGCAAAGATGAAGTAAGGAGCCAAGTGCAGAGGGCAGTGGTGGGGAAGGGCAGGGCCCAAGGAGAAACTGTCCTGTCCATTTGTCGTGAGCGTGCACGTGCATGCGTGCGTGTATTCAGCACCAAGGACAGCACCCCCGGCACGCCAGGGGGAAGCTGATGCTGGCCCTCCAACATTTTAACCTCCTACAACAGAAGGGCCCCTGAGGCAGGAGAAAGGCAGAGGAGAGGCCGGCACAGAGAGCCTCCTGGGGGGCACCAGCGCCAAGTTCAGGGGCAGGAAAGGCCATTCCTTTCACCCTGGGCTTTCTCTGTCCATTCCATCCCGTCCCTCCCCACCCCCGCTGTTTTCAAATTAAGACCCAGAAAAGGCCAAGGAGAGGCGGGTAAGTCCCATGGCCAAGTGTATTTCCCCTAAGTCAATGTCACATCCAGGATACTGATGCTGAGACGGGCAAGATGCAGAACCTTTCTGCCAGCACAAGGATCCCTCCAGCTGCCCTTTCATGCCCACATCCACTCCTCTCTTGCCCCTCCTCCTTCCCTAGTCGTTGACAGCCGCTAACCTGTTCCCCGTCTCTATAATTTTGCCATTTCAATAATATTACACAAATGGAATCAGAGTATGTAACTTTGGGGGACTGGCTTTTTTCCACTCCACATCATTCCCCGGAGATTCACCCCGGTGGTCCCAAGTGCCACAGTTGATCCCTCTTTATTGCTGAGTGCCACAGGTTGTTTAACCAGTCGCCTGTTGAAGGACATGTGGGCTGTTTCCAGTTTGGGTTACTGTCATTAAGGCTGCTGTAAACGTTTGAGTACAGGTTTTTGTGTGGACGTAAGTTTTCACTTCTTAGGAATAAATAGCCAGGAATGCAATGGCTGGATCATGTGGTACTTGCAGGTTGAGTTTTTAAAGAAACTGCCCAACTGTTTTCCAGAATGGCTATA